CCATCAAACGACGACGTGGATCATCTTTTCTGTATGCAATTTTCTTCAGAATTTTCCATGAAGCTGTCTTACAACCTTTGAAAAGATCACGTTCTTTCAATTCATCTTTCAAAGTTTTCAAATTGAAATGTTTTCCTGAATTTATTGTTGTTGAATATTGTATATTGAATAAATCAATACAAAATACTTACTTGTTTTGAACATATCAAAGATCACATTTCAAATGGCAGTTTGATCGAAATCATCAATATCTACCACTGGTTTCACCCGCTTTCGCTATTTCGATGGATTGCTGAATACTTTGCCACTATTAGATTTAGTCGCAATACGGTTTACAGGAGTAATACTCAACTTCAAGGCATTTGCAACCCTCTGAAAGCCAACAATCGACAAATATTTAATCCAACCCAACATTTATATATTCGGTGTATAATTTTTGTTCAGTTCTTATATAGGATAGGAGATTATTACAATTAATAAAACTTACGTCTTTAACATCAGTTAGTGGAAGTGAAGGTCCTCCATTCTCACGTTCTCTTTCGAAGTAGTCTCTATTAAAGATGCTACTATTTGTTGAGATTGTTCTGACAATGCTTCAGCCATATTGACTATATGCAGGTCTTATCGAAAGAAATGAAGAAAATAAATAGTTCTGAAAAGAAAGACTCAAGTTTTTTCGATTCGGCAACGTCTGAAATTTCAAACGATTTTACAAAAACACAACATGATTTTCGCCATACAATGGCTCCTTTGGGCGTGACTTCAACTTATTCTACAGTATTGTAATGAATTAAATTACCTCAGCTTACGTCCCAGTTTCCACATTTGAAAAAATATTTAGTAACGGGGAGTTATTCAATTCTATATAATCATTCAGTAAATTACCCGAATCACTGAATGATCAATTAGAATTGAATAACTCCCCGTTACTAAATATTTTTTCGAATGTGGAAACTGGGTCATTACAAACTTAGGTGAATATCAGGTACCGATATAGAATGAAGAAATATAGAATAAAGAAAATACTTTTGTCTAGTTTCAGCTGTGTNTCTCTGAACTTAGAATTCAAGAATTTTGACAACTTACTGGTTGGAGCGTCAATGTAGGATACAACTGGTCTGGTGGGGTTGCCTTCTTTATGAAGTTTAATCAAAGCGTACATCTCTGGAGGTTGGGGATTCATACAAATGGTTTTCTTAACATCCCAGGGAGTGGGGAACAGCATTTTTGCTTTTTCCAAGGACTTTATGACTTCATTGGAGAATGATTTCGTGGGGTTTTTCTTCAAATAAATAAGTCATCAATCGAACGAATCAGGTATCTACCTGAAATGTAGGTACTTCAAATTGTAGAATGAGGTGTACTAGCATTGAATATGTGGAATTAGTTAGTAAAGACACCCCCGCAGAAGCCATTGTATGGCGAAACACGCGTTTGTGAAATCGTTCAGTGAAAATCTCACAATAAAGTGTTTTTTGAATACGTTAGTTATGAAGTTTCATCAAGTATCGGTCAATTCCATCATATATAAAATTTTACTACCAGTTGAGCAACTTCCTCTCTTCCTCCGGAATATTCTCACATTCTTTCTATCAAGATGGAGAAGTAGAAAGCCAAAACCTGAAAATGTACCCTTCCTATATGTTGAAAAAAATTTTTAAATATGTTTTTTTCGTTAACCAGCTATCGCACCCCTACGAACGACAACCCTTAGAAGTCGAAACTTGTGCGAGCTGAGGACTAACGAGGTCTTACCTTTCAACGTGTGATTCCTAGCACGATTCCATGTACTTATAATATTTTTAACATAATTTCCTCCATATTCTATTTAATATTCCTTTCCGATGTAGTTTAAGTATGAAAATCTCCCCAAACAGTAAACTATGTCAGCTGTGGTTTATTTTCCTCTCCATCCAGTATACAGTGAACACAATAACAATAAAATTTTCGTACGCCTACCCTTGTGAACTATCTGGTACCTGAATTCAGATCCGAATCGAGCCATGAATTACTTTAATAGGCCTGCAGAACAAAATTGAATATAAAGCTTGACGACTTTTACTTCAACGCAGCGAACGTATATTCTCGACTTTAGTTCTCAATGATATTGCGATGGTGTGGCAAAAGACAGGCCGAACTCCGTTTTCCTTTCACAGAGGCCATATAAAACGAGATTTATCGCACTAACGCGGAGCTGAACCGAAAAATTACACCGAGAAAGCTGTGGCAGATAGATCCGAGGGCCCAATCCACAAATAAAAATATGGCTTTGGTTTAAAAGAGCGCGTGAATTGTGAAAATGGAGGAGGCGGAAAGGAACGCGGGGGGTGTATCAGCTACAACCTTGCTTTGTCCCGATTTCCGTGAAGTGATGACATATTTGCTTTCAAAGGCGACAACCGGGCTTATTGCGCTCCGCAGGAAGGTTGGGTAGATGAAAAATAAATCGTGTTGCATAAGGGATGCGGAATTGAATTGGCAGTTTCGTGAACGAGTTCGTGAAGGACGAGTCATGCGATATATACGATGTACCAACTCATTGAAAGTTATCCATTCTATTTACGAATTCATTGATAAAGATGATATTTGGGTGGTCTTGGTGAGAAGAATGTACTGACACATGACGATTTTTCCAAACATATAATGGAAATTTCAGCTACACATCAGACAGAATGATAGTGAACTCAACTCTTTTTTACTACACAAGGAAATATTTTTTGTTCTGAAAGAAACGAACAATTTTGAAGCACCTCAAACTCTATAATCAAAATTGGGTTACAGAGTTGAAGGTTCAAAAATGACTCTCAACTTATAGCTTGTNTTCCATTTATAATTAGGAGATAGGTAATCGAACTTCATTAAGGATTAAATTTAAGACTAGAGATATTCATATAATTCATATTCACTCAATATAATGATACTAACAGCCTTTATATTCATCGAAAATATATTTACGATTGTAGTGAAATTACTGCTAAGTAGAAATCGCAAGAAGTTTGATAGGAATATTTGAAAATAATAAACTTGGCGATTGTTGACGTTTTCATTGGTATTCCGATTTTTTTTTATAACTAAACACATGAAGCACTACATCCTGTGAGAAAGTGGCGATTCACGTTGGATTTGAATCGCTGGAGATTGAATTCATTCGAAAAAACGTTCTCAAGAAGTTTATTCCACATAAATGTCGTTCTTCAAATTGAAGATTTTCAAACAGTGAAGTTCAAGATGTACTACTATGTTAAATCTCAAAACGATGAGCAGCCACAGTCCCTTGTGTATTCCTAATATGTACCGTTCCAATCAGGCGAATAGTTTTTGGAATTTACATACCTACTGTGGATATTCATCGGTAACCTTCGATTCATTTACGGATTCACCTCTCTCTATTTCACAAAGAGGTGGCCGAGTGAGTTCATCACAATGCTTTATGTAGTTCATTACAGATATGAGTATCTTTTCTGCACAAATTCGTTAAAATCTCTATGCATTAACGAATCACAGTGGGAATACTCACAGTAGACATTTATATATCATGAATATAGGATAAAAAATACCTTTGCCTAATTTCTACTGAGTGGAAATTACACTATTGAGTAGAAATTACCTACAAAAATAACATAACAATCTGCACTGACAGCAGACAAGCCCTGTTAGCCTTGAACAGACAACGTGTAACTACAGGGCTAGTACTAGAGTGCCACCAAGATTCGGCCAAAGCCTCGGTAGATAATAACATTAACCTGAGGTGAGTTGAAGGGCACGACAGAAGTGAAGGTAGTCGCATCTTTAGCCATGGAAGCCGGTGGACTAAGAATTTTAGAACCCAGTGGCACCTACGGCCTGATGACTTCGACAATTGCAGAACTAGCCAAATGTTACACACATGCTCAGTCCCTGAAGAGATGGGATGGAATCAAAGGATGCAACCTTGGCAGGATCTCCCTGGGCGGCCTTGGGAAGCTGACGCCGAAAAAATATCTGGCGATGACCAGGATAAATCTACGCTCAACCGTGGGATTCATGACTGGCCACTGTCGACTAAGGAAACACCTTCATAATATGGGGCTAGTGGACACACCTCTATGCAGGATGTGTGAACAGGAAGATGAGACTGTCAGGTATGTCCTATGCGAGGGCCCAAAGTTATCGTTAATAAGAGATTGTGTTCGACGACTCTTGGTGTACACCTGTCGATATAACGGATATGTCTTCCAATGACCTGTCCAATTTCCTGGAAAGGACAGGAAGGACGATGAACTAGGAAGACAACTCCTCGGGGTCACATGTGACCTAAGTGCTGTGGGCTTACACTCACCCTCCCTACTTTACAGATACAGATACAGGTGATTAAGTTAAGTGTTTATTTCAATGTACGACTGTTTTCACATTTGCAAGTCATAATATAAATTGTAATGAATGTACCAAAACGAATTTTTCCTGTAATTGAAAGCAAAGTTCAATTGTTTCCAGACACGACCAGAAACAATAGTTCTTTACTTGACCTCAACAATTCCATAAATTTCCAATTCTAATTACGGTCATCTCTCTCAATCATAACAATTAAAAATTCAAAAATTTTCAAAATGAACACAAAATTCTATGCCTTCATTGAACATAAAATGAATAAGCTCAAATTGATATGCTGTCAAAAATTATATACTTTGGGGTACGCCATTATAAACGGAGCAGATGAGCTGATAGGTTATTTGAATTATTCATTACGAATGGGAGGAGGTATTAGCGTTCTTTTAAACCTTATATTGACATTGTGGACATCTGTTTTATTTTTAATTTCATTTTACAAAAAAGGTGGCGTTTCAACATCAATAATCTTGTTATATAAACACGCACGATGATGTACTCGTTTTTTTCACGTTCTGCCTACCAACATATTTCAATTTGTATCAAATTCGGTGATATTTTCCAATACCATACCTATACGTATTTATAGCCTCATACAAAAATTCTAAATTTTTTAAATTTTTTCTTTTTTTCAGTTGAATGCAGCCCATGTGGGGCATCAGAGTATTTTATCATTGATAGCACTAGCAAGTAATTTTCTTATTACTCATAGGAAGTATGGGTCTGTTGCTGAAAATAATAGATTGGCAAAGTTCACATACATGTTTATGGAACCTCAAATCATTATCAAAGATTATTTTTTAGATAGTTCACGAAGTTAGCCAGTTCTAGAAGGGCATTATTAATGTTTATATTGGTGTTAATTTCATTTCGGACACTTTTTAATTCAGGACCAAATGAAATTATGATAGATTTATATCAAGTTTTCCCCTTCGTTACATGCTACGGAAAAATATATCAATATATTTTCACCTCGGAACTTTTCATTGAATTTTCAATTATTCGTGTGCCGTTGCACAGCCGAGGTGGATTCAAGTTACGGAGCGATACAACCATCAGTTGTGAATTTTGCGGTGACATGACTGGCAACCACAATGGGTTCAAAAACTCCGTTGGATAATTAAAAGCTTCGATGGCATCGCAAACTGTATTCACGCTCGATAAATAAACAATAGTAGTGAGAAAATGTGTTCTCATTTCTACTCCGTGCTGTTTATTGAGTGAGAAGTGACATCGGTAGACGCCTGGCGGGAATAACTGATCTAAGATCAGAGTTAAAAATGATCAAATTACTGAAATGATTATTGGAAATAGAAGTTCGTGATGGAAGGGTAAAAATTGAGATCTATATTTATTCATTGATGCCACATAATATACTGATGGAAACAAAAAATTATGTTGAAAAATTTAAAAAAAGTTTGAGGTGGAATACCCTTATAGCTCAGGGGTATGAAAAATAGATTAAAACCTATTCGCAATTTGATTATCGCTTTAATATTTTAATGTGACGGGCCTATTTCAAAAATGTAAACCCAGTCTTCGTTTCGTTGCCGTTTGTACACCCTTTATAAATTATCATAAAATTCAATAAACATCGAAATTTGTTTCAAAAACTTGTGAGGAAAGTGAATTTGTCAGGAAGAAATTTCTATTATACATCTATTATATAGGTGTTCAGAAAAATTCAATCAGAAGTCTGCAACAAAAAAGCTGTCTGGATGTTTTCAACTGATCTCTATGTATTCACGTGTTTCGAACACTGAAAAATTTCAGAACGTCAGGTTATTTTATAAAGCGCACAATTGTTTTTTGGGCTAACTTCAAGTCATGAATAAATAGGTGTGATTTTATTTTCATTACTGTTTTGAAATGTATACAGGCCATAACTACCATTACTTTCTAAATAAACGAATCTTTCGGCCCTGTGCCCTACTTTGATCAAGAGAACGAGTTGGTTTATTGGACCAATATTGAAGGTTTGATGGATACATTCAATATCTCATATAATTCAGCACAGTAACGTAAAAAGAAGTCTTAAAGCAGTTCCGATTTTCAATGGCGGTTTCTTTGCCTCCATTCCTGTCGGTAGTCTCGAACATATCAAGGAAACCTACAAGCACCTGGAATTGATTCTGCGCAAATTTAAATATAAAGACCATGGTTGGTGAATGTGCGGTAATTCAAAAATCTTGGGCATTTTGCTCGAACAACAATGTGGGTTTACCAAATTCCCTCGCTTTTTTGTTTCTGTGGGATAGTAGAGACCGAGAAAATCACTGGACTAAAAGTGTTACCGAAAGAAACGTCTTGCATGAAACTTTGGTCTATCTATAGCCGGAATTGATGAAGCGATCCATGAAGTCACTTCCAAGTGATAGAAATTGCTTCAAATACTCAATTTCAAAGTTTCCAGGCCTCTCAGAGGCAAAGTTGAAGAAAGGGGTTACACAAGATTAGACAGCTCATGGCTGATTTATAATTCATCACAACCATAACGGATCTTCAAATATAGAGTGGATCGCCTTCAAAGAGGTTATAGAGGAATTTCCAGGCGATGAAAAAGCCACGAACTACACACTAATCATCAAAATAATGTTAAAAGCATTTCATACTTTAGGTTACCCAATGAGTTTGAAATTACATTGCCTTCATTCTCTCCCCGACTACTTCCTAGATTATTCAGAAGATGTGAGTGAAGAGCAAGATTAACGATTTCACTAAGATATCAAGGAAATGGAAAAAAGATACCAGGGAAGAAAGAGCGCCTCGACGATAGCAGACTACTTATGTACGCTTCAGTAAGACCTTCCAGATGCTTCCTACAAACAAAAATGTACCCAAAGGAGTCTGGTAGAATGAAATGTATACAGTGCTCATTACTGAATGTATTTTAAAGGAAAAATACGTTTTTTTACGCAATTATGAATACAGTGTGTGAAAGCCAAAACTTATTATTTCAGTTACTGTACATATTTTTGAAAAATCCCGAAACACGTCAAATGTAAATTATAATTTGACATTCTTCAACTGGAAAATGCCACCAGTACCTTCAATTCCCTTCGAATGACAGGTACAACCCAAAAAGTTTTGAATGAGAAGTATAGATTTGTGATATATCGTTGAAAGGTTTATGCATTCTTTGTTCAAAAATGTTTTTGAGTTTATTGCATCAATGAAGATAAAATGAATTATAATCATGTGGTTACCGAAATTCGATAAAATACACGATAAAAACTGAAACGTAATGCAAAACGTAATGAAATGTAGAATACGGAAAAAAAACTATGAATGTTAACGAAGTAAATGTTCAAAATGTTCACCGCGAACGTCTTGGCAACATCCCAATCTCGAATAAAACTGTCATCTAACATTATTCAAGATATCAGGCGTGACCGATCTAATCGCAAGCGTTATTCGTTCTTTTGAGTCATTCAAATCTGAAAGTTCAGTTTTGTACATAAAAAGAAATCTAATGATGAAAGATCAGGTGATCGAATTGGCCATTCAATCGGTCCTCGCCTCCCTGTTAACTTGGTAATGTAGTAGTGCTCTATCCTGCTGGATATCGTATTCACTGGAACTTGGAAAGAAGTGAAGAAGTGTCAAATAATTATCGCCATTCAAGTTGCCCTCAATGAAAAAAGGACCAATGATATGGTTTTCTGCAATCCCTGTCCAAACATTAACCTTTAGAGGGTATTGTGTGTGTTCTGCTCTCATCCAGAGAGGATTTTCCGTTGACCAGCAGCGGCAACTTTGCCGATTAGCATGGCCGTTAAGAGACAAAGTACACTAATCAGAAAACATAACGTCTTCTGATTGGATGATATTGTGCAACATGTTCATCATTTTTTCACAAAAATAAGTTCTTCTATCAATGAGCTCCTGAGTAGGTATCATTTTATAGAGATGTATTTTATTTTCTTATGTTTACTATCGATGTCTGGGTTTTAACTCCGTAACCAATTTTTTTTATTATTTGCATTCTCGTTTATCTAACCAATCATTTTTATTTTATGCATTTCCGTTTATCTAACCATTTGTCAGACTTGAAGTTAACAAACTTTAAACCTTAATTAAAATACTGACAACTAATATTGAAACATAGAAAACAAGTTAACAAGGTGTTTCAAACTGACGTTGCCAAAGAAATTCATTATAGTTTTTTTAAAGGATACAATCTAGAAAGAACTTCCTTTTTTATTATCCTCGACATGAATTTTTGGGTATATTGCGATAAGTTTTGAGTGTGTTTCATCTAATTTCGGTAACCACATGATTTTAATTTATTTTATCTCAATTGTTGCGATGAATTTGAAAGCGATAACATGTTTCCCATTTGAAAAATTGCGGGTTGTACCTGTCATTCGACGAAGGTTGAGGGTAGGGGTAGCATTTTTCCGTTGAAGTAAATAAAATAATTATTTGAATTTTGTTAAAATATGTACCGTAACCAAAATAATGAATTTATTCTATTTGGCTTCCACACACTGTACCTATATTTTTTTTTTGTTTTCTATCTTTTATTATGAAATGATAACTTGTTTAACGAAATATCACGAAACGTGGAATTGTATGATGAAATAAAAGTCAATTGCGGATTCAGCACAGTCAAAAACATAATAATTTCGTAAAAAAATACAAAACAGCTCTCAAATTATTTTTGCAGACTTGTGTAATGTTAGAAACCTAAATCGTGCTAATGAAGTTTCTCACTTAGATGTACGAAACATATTTTTGCCCTACAAAAAAAGATATCTCACTCAAATTGGTAGTTGAGATCAAGCAAAACTGTGAGGAATTGATCACTTCAACGTGACGCGATATTGCAGTCAAAAGACGATCTTCGATCTTCCTTCCCGTGTCTAAACAGTAAACTCGGAAAGTAAAAGTTGATGATGATACATATTTTGCATTTTCTCAGTTTATGCCTACCTAGGAGTCGTAAAGAAAAGTAATGCCTCACATCAAAAACCGAAAGAATAAGAGGTTCGTATTTTCAATTCTAGACTATAAATTCCACCGCACACTCAAGTGACACTTAAATTTACGGAAGAGTGAGGATGTCATATTCACCCAGCCTCATCATTTATTTCATATAGTCCCGTCTCTCTGTCCCCTAAACAGAGTGATAAATGCTCCACATATGTACTTCACAAAATACATTCATGCCAACGATACAAGGGTATACCCAAAAATTTCATACTGCCATTTCTGAAATTAATTGAAAAGTTTTCTGGAGATTGTGTCTGAAACTAAACTTCGCAGCCCTCCAGTGTTGAATTCATAGACCTTGTTCAACAAAGTGAACACTCTGCAACAAATTAATATGTGTGTGACATGTGGAAACCAAAATTTTCCTAGTTTCGCTAACTTCGGCACATGTAATTAAACTCATAAAGGAAAAGCTTGGCTGACATATGACAACATGCTTTACGGGTAGCACATTTACAGCAATAAACTCAAAGAATCTCAATAGTTCACGCTTGAAGCAAGTTTAATGGTGTTCATAAAGAAGAATGTGGCACAGATCGATTCTGTATATACACGTATATAGAGTGGTGGGAGAATGTGGGAGCATTCAGGGTGTTATATTTTAGAGTGCTGAATGTTAAGAGTTTGAATCACATAGTGATAGCACATATTTTTGTTGATTCAGCATGTATTGATTCAATCAAATGAATGTGATATCAGAACACTATAAAAAAACCGATAATCAGAAAATCAACCTCAGGTTTTCTCCCCAAAATAAATTTGCTCAATTGGTAACTCACTTTGAGGTCTGCGGAATAAAAAGTCAGAAATTCTAGAAGTAACAATGGTCAAA